TCCTTTTGGATGGGGCCCGGGTTTTCCATTTGGTCAGCGCAGCCTACGCTGTAGGAACGTTTGCGGAAGCCGCCGAGACCTTGACCTTTTGATTGAGCGGCCAACTGTCTTTTCTCCTCCTGCAGAACGGCAATCTTCACCTGCAGGATGGGAATGGTTTTCACCTGCTCTTCCAGCTCTTTCAGCCTCCTGAGCGCCACGACCATCTGCTCCCGGATTTGCTGCAGGTGTAACGGGCTGACGTTAGTTACCGGGGTAGCCACGCCTGAGCTCATGGGGCTGTGGCGGATGGAGCTGCCCCTGGATGGTGGGTAGTAGGCGTTATACTCTCCATTAGGGAGATGACCGTTGATGGGCAGAGTCTGATAGGCGTTGGGCGAGATCTGGCTTGTGCCTATGGAGCCAGAGTAGGAGGACAGCGAGCTGCTGGAGCCCATACCACCGAAGCTGGCGAGACGCCGGCGGGGCATCGGAGGCTCGCTTAGCGGCTGCAGAAGCGCACGCTCCTGCTCCAGCCGACGGCGGGTCTCCATGAGGGTCTTCTCCACTTGGGGGTTGTGCCGAGGGGCAAACCTGGGCGACGGCGGGGGGAGGAGCTGTTTCTGCTCTGCGACGCTCGAACACGCCTGATGCAGAGGCACCTCACACGCTGCCCTGCAGAGGGTGGGGGTCAGCGGGGCGGCGGCCCTGCTGGTGAAGAAGACCGGGGACTGTTTGCCGTCACTGTTGGAGGAGGACAGCGAGTCTGTGGAGGTCCATTCAGCCTGAGCGCCGACCCCGCCAGTGCTGCCCCGAGGCACCGAGGGTTTGGCCGCTTTGGGCTTCCTCTGGATGCTCAGCTTCTTAATCGTGTTGCCCCTCTCGATGTCGTCAACATACTTGAGGAAGTCCAGGTCTAACTGGTAACCATAAGGAGTCTCAACATAGTAGGGGGCCTCAGAGTCCTTCTCGTCTTCTGTGCTTGGGCATCTTTGTCCTCTTTCTGTAAGAGACGACAAAAATGTGTCAGTGTCGCTTTAATGCTGGAAACAGACCGATTTATAGAGCTCGTACATACTGAGAGGATCTACTGAGCCAAGCCTCTGAAACAGTCGGGAAAATCATTCATCCTGTTAATACGAGACATAAAATCATAATAATCCCACTCTTACATATAAATAGATTCATGCACATTTCATTCAGCCACAGGGTAAAAACAGGAGGAAAATAAAGAAGTCCACAAATCCCAACAGCTTCATCTGATCCGACTCTTAACCTGCAGGTATTTTCTTTGTTTACACA